TGTACTTGGACAACATCGTCGTGTTTTTTTTTTTCGAGTTTTCATGAGCATCTTTGGCGCCTTGAAGCTGTACTTCAAGCCATAAAGATGTCTGGACTCACACTTAAGCCAGAAATGTGCAGATTTGCGAACGAGGAGCTCATGTTCCTGGGGCACGTGATTAGCAAGTCTGGAGTTCGTCCTGATCTACGGAAAACAGCCGCCGTCGCCCAATTCCCACCGCGCACTGACAAGAAGGTGGTGCGCCGATTTCTGGGCCTGTTCGCCTATTCTAGGCGCTTCGTGAAAAGTTTCGCCCACATCGCCGATCCACTCACTAACCTTACCAAGGCCGACGTGGAGTTCAAGTGAGAAGCGCCGCAGAAACACGCTTTCCAGGAGCTTAAACATCGCCTCCAGACGCCTCCGTTACTTGCCCATTTTGACGAGTTCGCCGAGACAGAAATAAACACTGGCGCATGCAGCGTAGGTCTCGGCACCGTTTTTTTGCAGACGGCTGACGGACTTGAAAGGGTTATTAGTTACGCCAGCCGATCACTATCCAATGCAGAAGCCAACTATTCCACAACAAAAAAAGGAGTGCCTTGCCATCATCTGGGCTACGTTGAAATTTCGCCCCTGCCTCTACGGCAGACTCTTCAAAGTTCTGAGCGAGAACCATGCCTTGTGTTAGCTAGCTACCTTGAAGGACCCTTCAGGTCGCCTCACACGATGGAGCCTGAGACTTCAAGAATGTGGCATTACCGTCGTTTGCAAGTCCGGCGAGAAACACCCCGACGCCGACTGTCTCGTGTGCCTGTCGACCAACCACCGCCCGACGACCCGAATGACGACTACTTTTTGGTAACGATAACTGCCGACGACTTCGCTGAAGGACAGCGGGCCGACCCTGAACTTAAGGCTCTTATAGAATACCTCGAAAGCAGGACCGCCGAAGCTTTAAAGGTATTCAAACGTGCACTTGCGTCGTTCTTCCTACGAAATCAGCACCAAAAGAAAAAAAATTGCCCGCAGCTTCCCTCGGGGGAACACTGAGGAGGATGCGAAGCATATAATTGGTTAACGGGGTGTTAAAGTGCGACTTACTTGGGTCGATGGCTAAATTGGTTAACGTGGTTGTGAAATGGGGTGTTAAATTGCGACTTGGGTCGCTGGCTAAATTGGTTAACGTGGTTGTAGGAGGGGTGTTAAATGAGTGAACACGTACGACACGTATCCCGTTTTCGAAAGTCCGGGTCCTCTTGTCGACGCTTACGTTTCAAAGCGGCCGAATCCGGTGCTGCTGCTCGACGATGACGTCTCTCAGCGGCTTCACGCTCTCTAAGTTGAGCATCTTCCGCTCGACGCCGACGTTTACGTTCGGCGTCGCGAGCTCTTCTCCGCGCTGCCATGTCTTCGGACGACGACTTGGTTGCGGTTCCGCCAACACTTTGGCCGGCGCTGGTCGAAGGGACGTCGATCATTGCGACCTCGGACGTCGACGCGCCGTACAAACCAACCGACGAGCGGCAACTGAGCGAGCGAGCACCGACCTTGAGTATGTATACAGCGCGACGGCGCATGCACTGTCAGCTGTCGAAAGTTCGAGAAGGGGGAGAAGCGCAACGGCGCATGCGCGTGCGTCAGCTGCCGATGTTCTCGAAGCGCGACGGCGCATGCGCGCGCGTCAGCTGCCGATGTTCTCGAAGCGTGACGGCGCATGCGCGCTACATTATACAGCTAGCGAATGTTCGTGAAGAGGAGAAGCGCACGCGGTGTGTAGAGGAGGAAGGGTGCACAGATGGTCGAGGAGTGAAGCGCGCGCGGTGTGTAGAGGAGAAAGGGATGCACAGATGGTGGAAGAAGGAGGAGGAAGCTTGCGGACGGCGCCGCACTACAAGCCTCGAGTATTAGATGCTCCGCATCTAAAACTTTTCCCCGTTTCGAGTCAAGTACCTCCTTGTGGTGCCTTCAGCTCTACGACAAGAACTCCTGTAGGCCCTGCACGACGATCCGACGGCAGGGCACCTTGGTGTTTCCCGCACGCTCACGAGGATACAAGAAAGGTACTACTGGCCACGTATTACCACCGACGTAACTCGTTATGTGAGGACATTCCGGGACTTTCAGTGACGCAAGACATTGCCGACAAGGCCAGCGGGCCTTCTGCAGTCAATTGAACCACCTCGCCGACCATTCGAGCAAGTTGGTATGGACCTACTGAGGGGCCGTTCTCGACGTCGGCTTTCGGAAACACGTGGATCGCGGTAGCTACCGACTACCTCACCCGCTACGCCGAAACAAAAGCCCTGCCTAAAGGCTGTGCATCCGAGGTAGCTAAGTTCTATGTCGAAAATATCGTCCTCCGTCACGGCGCCCCGGAGGTCCTTATCACCGACAGAGGAACGGCATTTACTGCTGACCTAACTCAAGCGTTCTTGGCATACAGCCAGACAAACCACCGCTGGACGACAGCGTACCACCCACAGACCAACGGCCTCACCGAGCGGCTTAACAAGACGATCACTGACATGCTGGCCATGTACGTCGACGTCGAACACAAGACGTGGGATGCCGTGACTTTCGCATACAACATGGTGGTGCAGGAGACGACGCAGATATCGCCATACAAATTTGTCTACGGAAGGAGCCCAGCAACGACGCTCGATGCCATGTTACCCAACGTCACCGACGAAGGAAACCTCAATGTGAATGAGCACCTTCAACGCGCCGAAGAAGCCACACAACTCGCGCGTCTCCGTATCAAGAATCAACAGACGACCGACCGCCGCTGTTACAATCTTCGACGACGCTTCGTGGAATACCAGGCCGGTGAACGTGTTTGGGTGTGGACGCCGATACACCGACGTGGACTCAGTGAAAAGCTTCTGCGACAGTACTTCGGACCGTACAGGGTGGTTCGACATCTCAGCCCACTTGATTACGAGGTTATCCCCAACGGCATCACGAACTCTCAACGACGCCGATCGTGACCTGAAGTCGTCCATGTCCTGTGCCTCAAACCGTTTCATGCACGTTAACAAACTGAAACAGTTTTTTTTGTAATATTGCTGTATCCTAATTTATTCATTGTACTTTCTTGCATTATTGTTGTACCTTCATCTTTAGTTGATGCATCGGGACGATGCCTTTTTCAGAGGGGGGCAATGTCACGTTCCACTCCTCAAGCTTTGTTATCGCCCCAATACACTACACAATTCTCAGCGCAAACCGCGCCTGCAGTTTTTGAGAAGCTTCGGGACTGTAGTAGATCATTTCTATAAGATCTCACCCACTCCGCGAATTGTACAGATTATTCTAGAACCTACGTCACCGCCAGCGATAACGCTAGAACATTCGATGGCAAGAGTATAAATGCCGACGCACTTCACCGCTTGTGAGTAGTTGATCGATGGCCGACGCTCCGTTCACCGCTATCAGACCAAGACTGCTACTGTAGTCCGACTTTCCACTTAGTAGGCACAGGTTCGCCCAAATAAACAATTTATTATTCGACTCGCAGTGTGCTCCATTCGTCCACGTCACAACCCCGTGACAATATAATAAAATAGCTTCTGCAGATGTATTTAGAGTCGATAAAAGTAAAAAAAATATCATAGCTACAGGTTCCTCACGCTATGGGAAAAAATCCAGCGTCAGTATTTTTTTCGAGACCTTCAATTGTTCATTTTGAATAATACTTTTCAATTATTAGTTTTTTCAGCGAAATGGTATTACAAAAGTTTAGCTCATCCACCTCAGGTGTGGCTATAGTTACAGATACTTTATCTGTGTGTTCAGCACTCGCTAAAAATAGCGGTTCTCAATTATGATGTGGCCTTGGCAGGTAAAACTCTAGATATCATTATTATAAAATTCTTAAATATATCACGAACTTTTCATTTTCTGTTCCCTACCGACGTAACGTTTGTCAGATTAATTTGGGTATCGGGCCGTAAAGGGACAAAAATGAATGAAAATGACAAAATAGGGGACAGTGCGGTGAAAGGCGCTCACAGTGGTCCGATATTCCGAAATAATCTGACAGCAGCCCTCATGATTGGAGACAGATTGAGAAGGCGAGCAATAAATTGACCCCGCGCGGTCATTTATCCCTGTCCTAAACAAGTAATGACACCTTTTACCAAATGGCGTACCAATCTCTGTTCAACACGGAAAATGGCATAGCTACTTTATAAAATTACGCTCTCGCGTTCCGAACTTAAACTGTATATACACACAGAGGTGGTCTGGCTCCTTCCCCTCTTTGCTGGTATTGAAACAAGGACAAAACAACTGAAAATTATTTCTTATCATACATCCACTTCAATTATTGAGGGGCAACTTTTTTAAACGGTGTTTTATTGAATCCGATTAGATTTCTTAATTTCGAATATTCTATCCTTGGGATTCCTTCGTCCTCATCATCACTATGACCTCCGTTCTACGCTGAAACTTTTTTAAAATAAATCAGGGTGGTGTTGCCTGAACTATCTACGTTAGCGTCTATATTTAGGTTAACTATATTATAAAAAATTAGTCATACAATTTTTATGTGAACACTTTCTTATAAATATATTGTTTCTGGCCAGTGAAGTATTACACACGTACTATTGGCTCTTCTTTAAGTATTAAATGCGGTATTTGTCAAGCCTGCTTTGAATTTTTCACGTGCTATATGTACACACGCTATAATGTTTTCTGAGATAAATCGTTTCAAGGCAATTTTTTTTCATTTCTTGGTGGTATATTTTTAGCTCAGGTGCATGGATCTCCCCCGAAACGTTGATACCTGAATTTATCGGCTCCATTTACCGGGTTCCGGGAAACGCTTTGAGTCCCAACCACTTGAATTATAAGATGTTGAATCACGCACGTGATTTTTGTAAAACAGTGTTACACTTTTATCGGCAAGTGATCATTTCAAGGATAATTTCACAATAGGAAATGTACATTCTGAGACAACAACGCTGATTTTCTTGAAGTAAAATTTAACTTTACAAGGAGCCTTAACACTGAAGGTGGCTGATCAAAAGCTTTATTTATATTTTGAACGAGTTCTATGAAAGCATTAAAATAAGTTAATAAAAGAAGCGCCAGTCGTATTGAAGAGACAAAGTTTTATGTAACGCTCTCATTAAAAAAATATTTGAGTACAGGCAGCGCAAAGGAAGGCCCTTGAGTTCTGGTGTGGCTATAGTTATTTAATTTCATTAGTTTCTAGGCCAGCTGTATCGTGATCTTCATTTGTGGGTTTTACTATTGCCACTAAAATTACGTGTTTGTGACCACCACCTTCCAACCTATTCGTCACAGATACAGGCCCTGATCCTGCCACTGCAGGGCTAAGAACATCTGGATCAAGAGGCAAGGCTCCACCATTTCCGGCGGTTTGTTGCACAGTGGGTGGTAATACTGTTACATGACGACCTGTGCCTTTACCAGCACTTGTGCCACTGATGACCTCCCCAGTCTCTTGTTCAGATATTCCCAACTGCCCAGCGTTTCCTGCAAGTCCAGGAGCGGGTGCTGGTAATTGTAGTTGCCGGCAAGTTAGGTGCCTGTGTAACAGGGCCAAGAGAATTTTCTTGTTGCCCCCCTGTTCCTCCTTGTAGAGGTGGCTTCGGTACTAGCAACCCAGCACCTGCTGCTGGTTGTCCTTGTGGAGTCCCTGCGGAAGCTCCTTCCTGGGGCTACTAAAGCCGGGCTTTGTCCTTGTTTATTGAATTTTCCTCTTCTCGAATTCTTTTGTACTCTCTCTTGCAAGCTTCCCTGGCATTCTCCGCTGAAATAAGTGCACAAAAACTAATGTTAGGCATCAAAGTCCACGCGTGAGCTTACCATGAAAGAGTGCTACGAGAAAAAAAAGCGGTATAACAAAGTAATCATATTGTGCAAGGAAATCTGAATAGAAATACACGTATCTAAAACATTCTAATAAATAACTTTTAAGTAAGAAATGCTCCTAATAATGACTATGACAAAGTAATTTGTCTGCATAGCTAAATTCGTTCCCCATTGTTTCTCTCACTGTAATATTTTTTTAGTTTAGCTACTACGCTGAATATTCTACAAAAAGAAACATTCTAAAATGGTGTACTGCACACAACGTCTGTGGCTCAGAAAAGTGTTTAGACAGATCTATCCGTGCGAAAAAAACAGAACTTTTAGCGAAGAAGCACACACACCCAGCACTGTGTTATCTCACAGCCACTGAACAGAGTGCAGCGATTGTGTCATATCTTGTGGTCGAAATGATGTAAAAAGTAGCAGCAGGGAAGGCAGTATTCAACTTAATGGTTATCACAAACCATTGAGTGACTTACTTCTAAAGTATGCTTAACCGTACAAGTTCCATACTCCACCCCTCACACAACATGGGTTTTGCCAAACCATGTGACATATTCCAGGGACCATTTGCACTGAGTAGTTTAGTAGTTCCGCATGTATACGATGAGCAACGATTTAACAAGGTTGCTACTCAACATAACGTCCCCGTAAATTATTAGACGGTGTATTACATAAATCTCAGTTATTTCATATCAACACTTATATGTGACTAAAGCTTATCGTTTATAGATTTTCCAGCCATGTTGGTCCAGTGGTTATGGTGCTCGGCTGCTGAACATGAAAGACGCAGAATAGATCGAAGCCAATGCTGTCGCCCTTTGATGGAGGTGGCTGGAAGACATGCTAGAGCTCCGGATACTAAGACTTTTCAATGCATGGTAAAGTGTCTTAGTGGTTAAATCTTTCAGAGCCCTTGACTATGTACGTTTCCAGAGTCTGCCTGAGTCTGGGACGGAACTTATTGCCGAATACTTTCTTTGGCATTATCTCGTCTTAGTTCGCAATGGTACTGCGCCTAACGGAAAAAAAACGAGTCCTTATATATACATTTTCATTGAAGACAAAATACCTATAAACGAATAAACCGCCAGATTTAAAATTTGGAAGTGTTTTTCTTATCAGATTTTATTAATTTTTTAACGTACATTTGGGTAGACAAAATTATCCACAATATCAAATCTATTGTTGGGAATGCCTCAGAGGTCTGTTGCGTGTGGATCTTGCACATATTATTTTGTGCTGTTAAGCTACCTCGCATGTGAGAAAAAGTGGCGAGCCAGTTTTGTATTATAGTAATAAGGTAATATAGTTGCTCTTCAGCATACATGAATATTTTGCTGGCTCCTCCCCTCTTTAGGGGCGAAGCTCCTTAACGCGGGGGCTGTGTGTCCCCTGTATGAAGCCACCTCTCATTTAGGTCTTGCAGTGTTCACTAGATGGTGCTACTTGTAGCTGATGGTGAGTTTAGTTCGGTTTAGGCCTGTCACGGTGGATGGACGTGTTTTTTGAGTGCTCCGGATCGACTGCGCAAATCAGTGTTTTTGCATGTTTTGAGCTTGTCTTTATATTTATAAGGCAGCAGTTGAAATCTTCGTAGCACTTAGTTTATGGTACGGCTTTTTCGGGGGCCAGTCACCAAGTATTTATTAGTTAGTACGGGTGTGTGTGTGTTTGAAATTTTTTGTTTTTTTTTGTTTTGCCACCCCGTGGGGGAGATGCGCGTACATTGAACACGCAAATTTTTGTAGTAAAGCTTACACTGTTTTTTGTAGTGCAGGGCTCGAGTTTAGTAATTATGGAGTATAGGGACAATTGGTGTCAGAAAGACATGGTTAAAAAGACTCTAAAGTGTTCAGGATGTGGAGTGATTTTGAAAGTGGACCCAAGCGTAGAAGCGGATGGAGAAGAGGCTGACGTGAAGTGTAGGCAATGTGAGGTCGAGGAAAAAATGGGGAAAATGATGGTTGCCCAGAGCGAACTGCTGATGAGAATCGCCGAGCTCGAGACTGCGTTGGCGACAGAGCACGAGAAAACGAGGGCAATGGGAGAAAGACTGAAGTCCGCCGAGAAAGCACTAGCGAAGCTGAACAAAGAAGCGGCCTACGAAGAGAACAGCAGGGAACCAGCAACCAGAACGGTGGAGAAGGAAGAGCAAGCAAGCTTGGAAAAAATAGGTTCAGCCGGTTCAATTGTCGCAAGGCCCAGCTTCAGCGAGGTAGTGGTGGGGCTGAGAGGTGACAAAGCAGCCGGCGTACCAGGTGCAAGTAGCCCCCAGGTGCAGAACGCTCCAGCTGAAAAGTCACAGCATGTGATAATCGCCGGGGACTCGAATTTAAATCGATGCACAGAAGCCATCAAAGAGAGGGTAAGAGGTGACAAGAGGGTTGCAGTAGGGGTGTTCCAGGACGCAAGTTTGAAGCAGTCATGAGGCAAGCAAGCGCAAAACTCAAAACTACAGCTGATAGACGAAACCTCGTGATAATTTTAAGCGGTTTAAATGATGTCTTAAATGAAGGTACAGCAGGACTAGCAACCACACTGGTCACTGGTGAAAGGCGTCAATGACGTGCGTGCCACTTCTCCTAAGGTACAGGTAGTGATATGCACGATACCGGAGGTACCGGTGCGTGATAGCCATCTGCAAAGAGCGGCTGTCAACGCAAACCAAGAGATATGGCGCATGAGTCGAGACATAGCCTTTGAGCTGGTGGAAATAAACAGAGGTGTGCATAGGTGGGGTGGTTTTCAACGAGACAGAATTCACTTCGATAGACGGCTAGGTCATGAGGTGGGCTGACGGCTTGCAGGACGCACAGTAGCTTTTTTGGGGGGCAAGTGAGCCCTTCGGGGTGCAGGATAGCTAGTAACGAGAAAAACAGCCAGGGAGACTCTTCGACAGGTGGTATGGACAGATACGATTCCAAAGTGGCATCAGTATATAAGATAGGTAGACTCTGGGGCATAAATAGACGTAGCCACAAGCGCGGAGCCAATTCAGACACAGGGTATATTAACGTGCAGGGTGGTAGGAACAGGCTGAAGTGGGAAGAGATAGAAGAACAGATAAGGGAAGAGATTGATTTGATTTGATATGTGGGGTTTAACGTCCCAAAACCACTATATGATTATGAGAGACGCCGTAGTGGAGGGCTCCGGAAATTTAGACCACCTGGGGTTTTTTAACGTGCACCCAAATTTGAGTACACGGGCCTACAACATTTCCGCCTCCATCGGAAATGCAGCCGCCGCAGCCGGGATTTGAACCCGCGACCTGCGGGTCAGCAGCCGAGTACCTAAGCCACTAGACCACCGCGGCGGGGCAGATAAGGGAAGAGAGGCCGATGGTATACAGTTTTGTAGAAACACATCTCATGGAAATAGAACAACCTCTGAACGAACTGGGCTACGCGTGGGAATATTGTAATAGAACAGAAGGTAGCAGAAAGCCGGGTGGTATTGGGGCATTCATTCATAAAAGTACAGACTGGCGAAGGGTCAAGCAGGAGAGCAAGGAACATTTCTGGCTAAAAGGGAAAGTGGCAGGTCAGATGACACTCCTTGGTTTCGTGCACTTGTGGACGGGAGCAAAGGCTAGAGAGGAAAACCAGGCAATGGTAGAGTGTATATCAAAAGACATTCAGTAGTTAGGAAGAGAGTGCGAGATAATTATACTAGGCGACATGAATGCGCACATAGAAGATGTAGATGGGTATACCGACCCGACAGGCAAAATGATCATGGATATGTGTGAATTGCTTGATTTGATCATTTGCAACAGTACCGAGAAGTGTGAAGGGCAAATAAAATGGGAGGTAGGAAGGCTGCAGTCGACTATAGATTATGCACTGATGTCACATAGGATATATGGTAAGTTCAGGGGAACTCACATAGATGAAGGTGGCTCCAGAAGTCTGCGTAGTGATCACAAACGTATCGAGCAAAGTTTTGAAAGAGCAGTGAAAGTGGGCAGGAGACCATATGAGCAACTACAGCAAAATTTTGATTCAGAAAGGCTAATTGAAATAGCCACTAAACAAATTGAGAAAGCAATCACGAAGGATAATAAGACAGTGTGGACATACACGAATCTAATTAGACTGTTTGAGCTAGAGCTTGCTAAGACGCGTGACATGTCACCCCGGAAAAGAAGACACAAACGCATAGGTTTGTGGGATGAGGAAGTTAAGAGAGCCATAGCAAAACGTCAGGAAGCATCTAGGGAACACAGACATGCTAAGCAGCGGGGTGAACCGACAGATGATGTTGAAAGAAAATGGGAAACCTTTCTAAGCTGTAGACGATTGCATCCCTTCTGATCAATGAAAAGATTAGAAGAAAAGGAGTTCAGTGGCTGGCAGAAGTACATAAAAAAGATAGTAAGGCAGCTGCAAAATTTCGGAACCATCTAAACTCCCTAACAAATGAGACGAGCGTAGAGCAGAGGTTTTTTAACTACAGCCCAAGGTGCTAGGCTAGAAGGGGACGAAGCTATTGAATATACAAGAACAAGGGTGACAGAAAATTTTTCAACAAAGACATGCTTTACGCACCACAATAGACAAGGACGAACCAAGTGGTGCAATGGCTTCATTTTCACAACGTGAGAGGGAAAGGGCTGAAAAAAGGGTTCCGAGTAGTGCATCAACAGGTCCAGATGGCATTCCAATTATGTTGATAAAGACATTAAGTCCGAAGTCTAAGCAGGCTTTGAGAGAGGCAGTGAGCAAACTAATAATCGATGGTGAAGTTCCCGATGGATGGAAACTTAGCAGGATGAGCATGATCTATAAAGGAAAGGGGGACAAAGCTGACATAAACAACTACCGTCCTATAACAGTTACATCAGTGGTCTACAGGCTGGCGATGCAGATTATAAAGGAAAGACTGCAGGCATGGATAGAGGATGAGGGGATGCTGTGATAACTGCAGAATGGGTTTCGGAAACACAGGAGGCTGGAAGACAATCTGTTCTCACTGAAGTAGTGCATAGAAATAGCAGAAAAGGAACACAGGCCCCTGTGGCTAGCATTTTTGGATATCAAGGGAGCGTACGATAGCGTGGTTCAAGAGGAATTGTGGGGTATACTGGACGCACTAGGCATGGAACATGTACTCACTAATCTTTTAAAGGATATCTATAAAGGTAACAAGGTAGTTATAAAGTGGGAAAAACAGGTATCCAAGGCTGCAGAGGTGAAACGAGGCTTAGGCAGGGGTGTCCCCTGCCACCCTAATTATTCATGATGTACCTACAAGAATTAGAGGCAAAATTAGAGGGAAGTGGACTGGGCTTCAACCTCTTTTAGTCAAACAAGGAAAACTTATTGATCAGGCACTACCAGCATTAATGTACGCAGATGATATAGTGCTAATGGCCAACAACAAGGAAGATTTGCAGAGATTGATGGACATCTGTGGTATTGAGGGAGATAGATTAGATTTCAGATTCAGTAAGGAAAAATCAGCAGTCATGATTTTCAATGATTACGAAGGTACTGAGCTTAGAATACTGGAGGTCACGCTAGAGATAACAGATAAATACAAATATCTGGGCGTATGGATAAGCAATGGTACCGAGTACCTGAGGGAACATGAAATATACGTGACAACTAAAGGTAACAGGAATGCAGCAGTGATGAAAAATAGGGCACTGTGGAATTACAATAAGTATCATGTTGTGAGAGGAATATGGAAAGGGGTCATGGTTCCTGGGCTGACGTTCTGCAATGTGGTCTTGTGCATGAGATCACAAGTTCAAGCAAGATTAGAAATAAGCAACGTGGAATAGGTAGGCTTGCTTTAGGAGTTCACGGGAATACACCAAATCAGGGAGTACAAGGTGATATGGGATGGATATCATTTGAGGGCAGGGAAGCTAGCAGCAAGATAAAATTTGAGAAGCGATTGAGAGGAATGGGGGAGGAGCGTTGGGCTAGGAAGGTTTTCAGCTACTTGTACATAAAAAATGTCGATACAAAATGGAGGACGCGAAGCAGGAAATTGACTGCTAAATACTTAGAAAACAGCAGGTGGCCAAACGAAAAAGAACTATCGGTTAAGAAGAAAGTGAAGGAAACGGAGACTGACATGTGGAGAATGGGCATGATTAAGAAGTCCGCACTACAGACCTATCGAACCTTTAAGCAGGAAATTGCCAAGGAAAGGATCTATGATAATACTCGGGGTAGTTCTCTACTGTTTGAGGCCAGGACGGGAGTACTGCGAACCTAGACATATGAGGCCAAATACGAATGGGTAGACACAGTATGCGGTGCGTGTGGAGAGGAAGAAGAAACTGCCGTACACTTGATATAGTTCTGTAAAGGGCTTCACCCTATAGTTCAGGATGATAACGCTGAGTTTTTCAAAGCACTGGGGTTTAGGGACCGGGACGGCAAAATAACTTTAAGCGGGTCGACTTAACTAGATGAAGGTTATCTGATTGGTGGCTGAAGTCAAGGCACGAGTGAAAATTAAACCCTTCACTGCAAAGTACGAATCCTCAATCTCACTTTTTAAAGAAAAAAAATAAATCTAGTTTTTGGTTCATTAATTATTACGGCATTGGTGGCGCTAGCCACCGCCCGATCTAAAGGGTACAGCCATATCCATCCATCCATCCATCCGGTGAAAAGATGCAAGATGTTATAAACTAGCACGGCGGTACTTGTAGTTGATGATGAAAGATGCGAAATGTTATAAAATAGAAATGATGCCACATATGGCGCGTGTCATTGGTGGAAAGCAATCATTCGTTTTAGTGCAGTGAGCGTACGCTAGGGGAAGCGTTGTAATAAAATCAAGTGGGAGAAATCTAAGGAGGCTTCATGGTTTACCAGAATTACCTCTGGAGCTTCACCCACTCATCATCATTCACTTCGTGGATATGGTGGCACTTTTTTTTTATTACCTTTAGCACTGTGTAAACTTGGCTTTTTGGTGCGTATATACCCCTCACTAGAACGATGTTCTTGCGACTGTCAATCGGTGTCGGTAGCCGGAATTTCGTTGCGGAGCTCGCAAATGACACGGGTTAATTGAACAACAAGAATCGAACTTTTATTGTAAGGAACATTTTTTTTTCTAAGTGAGCAAAGCCGCCAGGCTTGCACGTATAGTAATATGTGTAAAGTATCTGAATGCTTTGGGTTTCACCAAAAACAGGTTTTCTTGTCCTCACTAACTCTACCACAATCTCAATCTAATATTTAGCAAATCCATGACACGATCGCTAAGGCCCTTCTGCGGAGTTTGTTCATTATCGATAAATCATGATTTAAACCAAAGTTGAGTACTTGAGAAAAATATAAAAAAAAACGTCCATCTACGTACACTTCACTATAAAAAGACACTGTTTATTTGTGCTACGTCAATATCGCTTTCAATGAAAACTTTAGCTTATAATAAATCAAGTTACGGCGATAAAAGGGTTGAAACCTTGCAGACACACCACGCTTTTGTAACTACTGTTCATGATTGTAGAAAACTTAGCAAGTTAGGGCATGAACTAAGAAGTCTTATAACGCAAGCTTGATTCCCGGCCTCAGCTGGCTGCATTCATAGTGGTTGTGGAGTTCAAGAACAGACTAATCAGCTGTAGGTACGCAATAAAAAAATAGGTGGTCATAATTGGTCCGAATTACCCCAACCCTGTACGGCTTGAGCAATAATATCACCATGGTTTAGACACGCGCAACCCAATAAAAGAATATATCTCACACCATTGCGAGAAAGATTCGATTAAAACTCACCACTACATCTTTTCATGCATTTCTCGCAGAACATAAACCTATTGATGGTATCTGTGCACATGCCTCTTGGCAACCTGTGGCAGGCATTATCACGAGGATCAAAGTACCACGCCTGGAATGTTGATTTGCAGGGCTTTGGCTCTGGATTTACGCTGCATAGAAGTTTTCCTTTACCGGGTGCTGCAAAATGAACAGTTTTTATTTTTCAGTTTGCGGAGATTACGATAAGTTCAAGGCAAGTAAGTGCAATATGGTAAAGGTACGGTGGGATTGACACATAATGCCTAATGAATATCTGATTTCAGGTAGGTGTCATTACGTTGGGTTTATTTTTATATTATTAATATTTTTTACTGAATGAAAAAACTGCATGAAATAAAGAAGCGAGATCACTCTGTCCTCCAACGTTAATGAAAACAGAACTATCCTTTTTATTTTGGTGTTACTGTCTCATTTGTAATAGGCAAAAGGCAATATTTAATCCATTTGTGTTAAGAAAAAAACTACAGACCAGTATGCATTCCCGGGCACTTGGTTTATTCTTGCGTCGCACGCGTCGCAACAACTTTAATCACAAAGTATTTATTGTAAAAATTTAACGCTTGTAAAGTAACAAAGAAAACAACCTTATCATGTACTTGGAGGAAATTATTTAGGCGGCGAAGTGTCTGTCTGTCTGTCTGTCTGTCTGTCTGTCTGTCTGTCTGTCTGTCTGTCTGTCTGTCTGTCTGTCTGTCTTTCTCGGTTACGCCTGGCGCAGGACGAAGTTAGACTTACATGCCATTCACCCCTAACACAAAAGCAGAGCTGATCCCTCCGTCATAGAAATCGGCAAAACACGAAAGATAAACGTGTCTTCGCAAAAATAGTAATAGAGAAACTTTGGGCTAGTTTGCGTGTGTTCATATAAGAACAATGCAGAGACGCTGTTCATGTTGTTTAGTCTTCCTTCGCGATTCGTCTCTGCGCTGTTCCAGCATGGTCCACAAGATAGTTTATCGTTTATGATGCTATTGATATCTGGAAGCTTGTAGAATTGGCCGTGAGGGCCTGCATAAGATGGGCCAGCGCTGTGATCGTTTTGACGTCACAGATAGAATGCGTAGTTGTGGGATATGGCAGCTTTGCTTTCGCAACGCCACTTGCATCGTCCCCCATGGCTGCACTGGTTCTTAGTCACGATTTTATGATGCAAACTAGACACGAAAGTGCCACCGGGGGCACCGATTCGTAGTTTGCTTGCCCGTATTATCAGGTCTTACCGCTTCTTTGAGCACTCAGCCTCAAAAGAAAAGGAAACACGCGTGGTGTCTACGGAAAAAGCGCAGGAAATGCGGTGTTCCAGCAGACAACACAACCCGGCATCTTATGAGTGACGTCATCATGTAGGTGGCGCCACGGTATGTCTTTGACGCCAATATATCTTGGTGTTTGATCGCAGTAGCACGTTTCCGCGCGTAGACGCACTATCGTTTACGCATATTAGTAGAATATACGCATCTCTATGACCAACGCCCACGATGAAGATTTAACCGTGGTAGCTGATGTTGTTAACCTCGATACCGTATATCGGGAATCCTGCGCAAAGATGGCATAAAAAATGATATAAAAATTGAACGTTTTCACAAAAAGGCGAAGCATCGAATGCGATGACTAGAGATTAAATAGGTGAAAAACGATGAGAATATAAAAACTGAAAGTTGCTGCTCAACTACAAAGAACGGACGAAACGAATGTACAAGTATACGCAGGACGAGCGCGATGTAATAACCGTCCCAGTTGTTACTTCTTCCGCTTAACGCTATGCTGCAACGAGTGAAGTGACCTTCATGCGCTTTGTTTGTGCGTCTTGTGAAAGCACACGCCGTACAAACCACCTTCATTACCAGATAAGAGCGCGCGCACGGGAGACCATGCTCTGATTGATATGTGGGGTTTAACGTCCCAAAACCACCATATGATTATGAGAGACGCCGTAGTGGAGGGCTCCGAAAATTTCGACCACCTGGGGTTCTTTAACGTGCACCCAAATCTGAGCACACGGGCCTACAACATTTCCGCCTCCATCGGAAATGCAGCCGCTGCAGCCGGGATTCGAACGCGCGCCCTGCGGGTCAGCAGCCGAGTACCTTAGCCACTAGACCACCGCGGCGGGGCGGGAGACCATGCTCTGTAGGGCGAACCACAGCTATAGCTTGCAGATGCACGCGCATAACTACGAAAAGGGTGACAGCCTTTCAAATTTGCCTTTCGCGCCCTTCGACTACCTCGCTAATGATAACGAAGACACGTTGAAAAGCTGCAGAGCTCGATCAGCTAGTATAAAAAATAACGTGTGTTTTGAGGCGGAATAATGTAGCATCGGTGCATTGCTGTGTTAGGGGTCGTGATGTCATTTTCAGTGGCACATCTGTGCTATTTTTTGCATTACTTATCAGATCGCACACCGCTGCTCTCTCCGCACACTCGCTTGCTCGTAAACACGCCCAGCTAAAACTCTCTTCTTATGAGATCACATCAAAGGTCGCGTGCACCGTAGTTGTATGCCGCCGCCACTGGTGTCGGTAAGCACTATTGCACGAAATAAAAAAAATACGAGAATAAAAATCACCAAGCACACAAAGAAGTTTGAACTCAGATTTGCTTCGTGCCAGCGCATTTTCCCTAGCATGGAGCCACACCTGTGCTGGACACTTCGTTGCACACTGGTATTAGGTAATCTTGGTGTCGGGAAAAAAAATTGCGTTAATATAAGTAATAAAGCCTTTTAGAAGAGCGATGGAAAAACACCAGGCGTTACACTATGAGAATTGCGTAACGAGTGGGCCGTCGAATGTGGTTACCCATAACAAAAGCTTCACGCAGAATTTTTAATCGTCGTAAGCCAAAACATTAAAAATTGCACAATATTCCTTGGAATTTTGTAGGGGGTACCACGCTTCTTCGAAGGATTATGAAGGATGGCACAGTAAAAGCCTGCATTATATGCGAAAATTATGATGATTTATAGCGTAGTGAGCCTTGCCACCTAAAGCCTTGCCACCTAAAGTGCACTTCGCTTAAAATTTGAAGAATCTCTAGCATGTTCGGCTAAGGTGAATAGAAGACGAAATATAGCTGGTGCCATCATCGGCATCTTCTTGTATGATAATGATGAAACCGATGATGGTCACTCTTATCATCTTCGGTGATAATGCCACAATGATAACACTAACGTCAATGATTACGAATATCATCTTAATCAACTCCCACGAGCGTTTGGCTTTCACTTTTTAGTCCACCTCGGGGAACACCCAGATGATCACAGAAACAGCGAAGAGGACAATGAATAAGTTGACTATATATATATATGACTTTGGGTGCCACTGATGTTATCGACGATGACTACAACGCAGACTGTCACTTTTTTGAACTGATGAGACCCTTTGCTGTTATAAAGATAAATAGAGATTGACAGAGAAAAAAAACACCACTGAAACTTTGACAAACACAAAAGAAGACGGGCTGTTAGGCGCTTTCTTTCTCGTTTGTTTATTTTCAGTGCTGTTATTTTTCCTTTTTGCACTATGTAGCAACATGTCCAAGTCTTAACCTTAGCCCGCAACGGACACGTACTTGACACCTCTACGCGTACATTTCGCAGAAATGGATAGACGATGAGTGCCAAATAATGTGTAGTGACTCAAATCAGAAGTCATCTTCGTCAATTCGTCGACGCTGGCAAACATGAGACTTAGAAAACGAGTTGATTGGGTGCCTTATGACTACGTGTGAGTGTTGTTGTTGTGAGCGCTCCTCATCACAACCTAACGAGCACACGTTTATTGCGCAAATAACAGCCGACGACAAATGCAAATAAAAAATTTAAGCAGAACGCTGTTAGTTTTTCGTACACCTTTCCGGTCTTGTTTCTTTTGTTCAAAAGTTGCTTTTGCTGTTCTGAGTGGTGGAAAGCTAAGAAGCCTTGTTGAATGCCCATGCTGAATGTAAAAGGCGTGAGGCTTGCTCAAACAACTATTTTCACCAGAAAAGTTCATGCACCTTAGTTTAAACAGAAGCAGAAAATCGGAAACAATTTTTTTTGCAAAACCGGGTCAATCTATCAATTTTTGAAAATCACCTTTTAGTCTCAATCAGACGCAACACTTTTATGAACTTGGCCATGGGCAAACATTGTGCTGTGGCCTGTATTTTACCAATTGTTGATAACTGAGCTAATAAAAAATTACACCACCTGCCGGTAAAGAAAACCATGTGCATACGCGAAGGAGTGGGCGCTAACGCATACTAAGCCACAACTATGACTAAACTTATCGACCAATATTAATCAGGAACACTAGTATATATTTTGGGCAAATAATTATTGGTGAAATAAGGAGTGTTATTTTTCTTGACTACTTGATCCAATGTCAATAAGTGCCACAACAAGTTTGGAATAAATCGGATCTGAAAATAGCTAGTGGACTTTTTCAAACAGTTATGGAATCGGGCAAACAGTTTGAGTCGCTTCTTTTTTTAAATTAAAGCAGCTTGACACCACTGACGCCAGGCCCGAAGGAACTGCAGAAATGAGCAGCCTCCCTTCATACTCATCGTAATCAACACCTTCTACTCACTTACTAGGTTAGCAAAATGATTCAGGCCGAGCTTTTAGTTTTTTCTGATAATAAACCTCCGTCTGTAACACCCCTTTCTTTCTTTGTATTATATCTCATTTTTTATGTCTTTTTTATGTTTCATTTCTTTTCCTCTCTCTTGATCCGTTTCTTTCTCTTTCTTGCCTGTTCTATTCTGTTTTCCTATTTTCTTTTTTCTTTGTTTTTGCCTTTCCTGCTTGCTTCCGCGTTTTTTTTTTCGATTTTTATACGTGATTTTGCGCTTGTTACGCCACTCAGACTACTTTTTTTTTGCCGATGATGAGCGATCGTCACCAAGGCACTCGAAAAACAAAGGGACGAAGGATTTTCTCGGTGAGAGCACGTGCTTAATATGCATCACATGAAGTGCTGCGCCAAATAATGACAACAGATGGCAGCATAGAAGAGCCCGGCCCGTTAATAGTTCTCTGCACTTAGATATCCACTTTACGCAAACATTTTCGTTGGGGTGCGTGAATGCAATTACAACGCGCTTTTTTCTATTCCACTCACTATATTCGTACCACAAAACAGATTTTAAAAAACTACAGGCCTACGCGGAAGGTGCAGCACAGTCACAGTGAAAGCTAGAAGAGTGGCCTGTCAGAGCCTTTTATAAACACTCATTGGGCAGCTGCTGCAAGCAGACTTGCTTGATACCCACTACGGCATTATTAATAAAACTTTTTGGGTTGTAGGACGGCATTCGCTATGCTACTCTTTGTCATTCTTTTGAGACGCGTGGTATCCGCTAAACACTTGCAAGGAATTTTGTGCCGATCGCTCATGCCGGAACCGACGACGATGAGGAATTATGCCGGAAGTGAGTATGCGCTAGAGTCAACAGGTGATTAAAAACAAGCTTTTGTAATGGGTATCAGCATTGCATGACCCACTCGTTACGCTATCCGCATTGTGCGATGACTGGTTGTTCTTTCGCAGTTCTAAAACACTTTATAAGTTGTAATAATAGGATTACTTACACGATATCGAGGCTGCCTAAAGCAAGTTTGCCAACAAGTCCCAAGTATCGGCGTGGCTTAGTGGTGGCACGCAGTGGACCCGGGTTTGAGCCTCACTGTGTCATTGGTACAAGGTTGTTTTTCTAATTTTGTGCAATGTGGCTACGGAAACCAGCGGTGGCGGCAGTGGCGGGCAACTACGACGTCACGCGTAACCCGAGCTTTGACCTCATAACAAAGGTCGCTGTAAAAAGTACTGCAAAACGACGTGAAAGATAAAACTGGAAAATTTACACCACTTACCCGCGCACCTTTTGTAGCACTTTTTCTCGGTCCAGAATCGGTTGCCGTTCCCACCACAACCTCCGTAATTGAACAACTTGCATTCGCGATATTTTTCTTGGAAATACCAATACGTTACATTAGCTCTGCATGGTCCGCGGTCCGGTGGTTTCGTGCAGACTGCAGGTTGTCTGAATGTCCATTTGCCTTTCTCAGACAGGCCTGGAAAATTCGACAGGTTACTTCAGGAGCACAACATAGTTAAGACTTTTTGACGGGAGTTCACACTACCTCCTACCCTCTAAACACCCAGGAAGAATATTGTTACGCGTTGTATAGGCTGGACTATAAAAAAAAAGAAGCGAGGAGAGTGCTATTGCTGTAATTTCTATTCAACGTAAAGGCTACACATGTCTAATTTGATAGGTAAAAACGGTTATGACACTCTACGGTGTATTTTTTTTTCTTTTGCTATCAGTATATTATAGTTGAAATATCTAATTAATTCACATAATTGAGTCCTGGCCTATACTACTTATTGGGTACGAGCCACTGTATTCGTATCATCATCGTCTTCATCATCAGCTTGGGCGAAAACGGTCTCGCCATCCCAGCATCCTCGCCTTCAGCCGATAAACCGCAAGTGTCTACTGCTGACGTAATAATACATATTGCGTATTCCCTCCTACAATATACATATGCAACTTCTCGAACATTACGAAAAACCGATGTAACGCTGGAATAATTTCAACACAGAAAGATTAACGTACCATATGCGTTCGTCACACTGAATAAAATAACGAGTAGACATCCCGGAATATTCATTGAAAGGCTGCAGCTTGATCGTTCCGCGCAAAGGACGCAAGTGTTCACTGAGTGCGGGATAGTACAGTGTTTAGCATATAAAGGGGCTGTGTTTCGAGACGCATTGTTCTCAGTGATGTCAAAGACGCCTTACATAACGCTTATTTGAAAACATTGCCCCACCAAAAAAAAATGTTAATTAAGGTTTTTTTTTTGCGGTTCTTGGAGCTTGCAAAGAGAAAATATAATATATTAAAAATATAGTGTGAATAAAAGTGCATTTAGCGGAATTCGAGAAAGGTAGTTTGTTTTTCATATAATATTAGTTGAGCTTGATTGCAGTTACCAAGAAAACGCCGTGCTATCACATGTACAGTTGAAGGCGTTTTATTTTTCATGCACACTTTTACACGTCTTATTGTGCGCGAAATGCGTTGTCCTCGCACGTGCTGGCTGTCGTAGTTATAGCAGATTTGTAGTGAGTATATTGAGAGCTCTAATACAAGAAGGCAGATGATAGATATACGTTCGCACATTTTGAAACTGCTTTTAACACATGGAAAATGAGCACTAAAAATGCAAAAGTTCTGTTTTAGCTTAAGTATATCGGGCCAAAATATATTACGTCTGTGCCATGTGAGGCCCTCATAATCAATAAAAAAAATGCAGTCTTGCCTGAATGAAAATGTTTGTTGCCAGCTTTATCTGCACTTTATTGTCTCAATTCAGTAACCTTCTAAACTGGTGAATTTGTATTTTTCAGTTCTACATTTTTTGGGGCAATGAAGTATTGGATGCGAGAAGAGCAAATGACATATGTGACCCTCCCGACACGGCCATGCTAGCTAGGTCACCTCAATTGAGCACAGAAGAAATGGCCCTTCAGTTTCTGTAATTATATTTGGCAGTAAGATTGCCATCCACCCTTCTCCGCATGCACTTGTAACCACATAGCCCGACCCCATTTCCCACATTCTCAGAGTCCGCATTTTTTTCAAAAAAGAAAAAAAAAAACGACACCATCCTGTGCTCATTTTTTTTCCGCACTCAGACACACTTCTGCGTACTGCTTCATGCCATCCTAGTTTTATTTCTGGGCACTTCATTTCGAACAAGATCGTGCCACACTTCTTAGGAGGACCACTCACAAGACAAAAAAATATAATGCAAAGGTATGGCATCTTTTCGCAGATTTGATTCATTTTATATTGTGTATTGCTATATCGCTACTGACTCGATATTTCCGCACCTTTTTCACCGCCTGATGTGGATGCACCCACGTTGACGCCTTGTGGCACACATTCGCCACCATGGCTAGTGTTTATAATTATAAAGTAACCAATTTGGCAACTGAAGTTTTATACATATACCTAGACACAGCATATTGTCAATCCCACAAAAAAAATTGCATCAATTAGCGCACAATAGGCACTGGTACTCAATATGCTTCTTTTTGAAGCGTTATCATTGGAGGAAAGAAATAGCACGGTGTGCGCTCTCGAGCAATAGGGTAACGCTATTTCACAGCGCTCGAGCAACACGATCATGTCATAATTGACGGTTAGTTCTCGCTAACACTAAGTGAAAGGCAAAAAAAGTAACCGCGTCTAGGACTACAGCTAGATGCTAGCGCTGTCAGCATTCATCGCTGACGCTGCGATCCTTCAACTGCTTCAATGGCAAACAGCTTTCCATTGTCGCTCGTCAGTGTCATGACGCAATACATCGCTTCACCACTCACGGGTGATTACATCGCCCCACCCCACCATCAGAAAGCATCACGTGAGAGAGAATTTGAAAGAGTTAAGTGAGTTGAGGGGTTTGAGTTGAGTGTACTGTGAGTATATGTGGGTGTAAGCGTGAGGAAATGTACGTGAGTATGAATGAGACTGTGCAGTTTGGAGTATGCATATATGCGAGAATGAACATGACTGAGTGCGCATGAGTGTGAGTACACGTGATTGTGAGCGTGACTGAGTGTGAATTTGAGCGTGTATGTGAGTAAGTCAGTAGTTTTCAGTTTTAATGCATGCAGATATGAACGCCAAAGAGTATGTATGGCAGCGAGTGCACATGAGTATAACCATGAGGGCTTCTGAAATACTTTTGAAATCTTTCAAGTTAAAAACGTGGAACTTACCGCTACATTGAACACACAATTTGAATGCATTGTTCTCCATTTTCCCGCAACGACCACATCAATAAGAGAATCAGATTGTTCTATGTGGGTAAAAATACTATTCTTGAGCATGGCTGTTACATGGCGTAAGCCGTGGCGGTGCCACACAGAAACGTTGTGGTGTAGCTCTTAAAAACATTGAGAACACGGACCACATGTTAGTCGTCACAGTTTTCTGGATATGATCGATAGTTTATAAAAAAGAACCTGCTGCTTTCATGGAAACTGCACTAGAGCCATAATGACTTGAATAGTTTCGGAATGAGCAGCCGCCAGAAGGTCAGGTAATTAAGCGCCCTAATTGACGAACCTGCCTAAAGTAGGTATAAGGGCTCTAACTAAGTGGCAGAACACATTTTATTGAATAGTATTTGGAGCATTCATGTTCAGGTAAATCATTTCTACAGTGTGGTTTTTGCGGTATTTCATACTAGAAATATGGCACGCTAATGGGTAAAACTTACTTTTGTAAGGTACAAGAAAAAGTGGTTTCTTTAGCTAATATATTGATAGATTGATATGTGGGGTTTAACGTCCCAAAACCACCATGCGGATGTGAGAGACGCCATAAGAAAGTGCTACAAAAATTTCGAATACGTGGCGTTCATTGTCATGCTTAGCTGAAGAACGTAAAAACGACTAAGTCCTTGTAGAATCTACTTAGCTTTGTCAAATTTTTAGGTTTAATACAGCCGTTTTAGTGTCACGGTAAGCTAATTCAGCACGCTGGTTGGACACAGATATAGAAACGGAAGATAACTAAGAAATAAGGACGAGAAGATGTTCAAACGAAAATTTGATTGTAAGAACGCTACCGGAAAGGGGCTTGTTGGAGGTGGAAGAGATAGAGAGTATAGGAAGTAAATTAGGATACTGGTAAATGTGTGCGCACATGCGGACAGCAGATCGGAAGCAAGGTCATGAAAGGAAGTGTGTCTAGCTGTATGGTATGACTAAATCAGAAAATGAATAAGCGATATCAATGCTGAATGTGTACTTACGAAGGCACACATGCTGGTGCTTTATTAACAAGGAAAACTGCTTTTCGTTTTCACCAAAATCATCACTGAGATATCTTTTGCAATATCTTCTCCTCTATAGTCAGAGTACAAATCAACAGCGTAATTTTGACAGGCTCCAGTGGCTCTGCAATAGCTTGGACTTTTTTGTTTCAAACGGCGAATAGTTACAAAGCGTAGTGTTTTTACGTAGCACTGCTTCAGACAATCATGCCATAAAGACAAGCTGTATGATTTAATCTCAGTGCCTGCCTTGCATAAATGAATAACGTATTGATAGTCCTAAATAATGAAACAGAACATTTGTATGAAACTAGAGCATTTATTTGTAGACCTGTCTAGCATGCAATTAGGATTCTTCTTAATTTCAAAAATTAGACCAACATCTGTACCGAAATTGCAGCTACAAACTACATTCTAGCTATTTGTGGGCGTTCTTACCACAAACCATTATTGTTTCATTATTTAGCAAATTGACTTTGAAACATTTCCTCTGGGTGTATTTAATGACGCGCTGTCAATGTATGTGTAATAATTATGGAGAAAAGGAGTAAACAAATCAGACTGAGCACTTGTGTTTGAAACTTGTACGTGACTAGGTATGAAAATTATTGACGCAAGTTGATAAAAAGTTTCTTGGTGAATGAAATCAAGGCTACAAGGTAAGCAAGGCTATGAATAATATGAAAAATTAGGTAACCCATCCCTACCAATTGGCCTTCAATTAAATGTATCACTCGCCGTGAAACTGGACGTGTATAAAGACAATTCTTCCTACCCTAGATTTTTACCAATCACAATTAATATTTCCGAAAAAAGTCCCATTTCAGAAGTGTGGCAGCTTGGGCTAGTTAGTATGGCATGACGATAGTCATAGCGCGATAACAAAACGACGACACAGAGAAAAGAAGGACACGAAAGACACGAGCGCTGACTTCCAACTGAGTTTATTGCGCAGAGATGAGTACAAGCAGAGAGATTAGCGCACCCGAGTCATTGTCGAGGCCGCGCAGATGGCACGCGAACAGGTGCCTTCTATTAGCAAGCCCTCCGTGGCTCTGTCCGAGAAGGAACTCAGGTTCCTCGAAGGTTTCGGTGCGCGCAAGTAGTTATATTATCTTTACCTTTCTGTTTCGTTTTCTTATAGATTTTTCTTTGCCGTTTTTCTGCGCTTTTGTTTTTTGTCCCTGTTTTTCTTTTACTCATGTTCTGCTCTTTGTGCCATATGGTTTTTATCACATGTTACTGTCTCCTCAAAATATTTTCGTCCTCTGCGCAATAAACTCAGTTTGAAGTTGGCGCTTGTGTCTTTCGTGTCCTTGTCTCTGTGTCGTTGTTTTGTTCTCGCGCTATAACTATCGTCATCCCATTTCAGAGCTAGGAATTTGGGTGATAATGGTTCATTTTCGTGGGGATACAAACGGTCAATTAAAAGAAAAGAAAGAGTAAAAAATAGAAACGTGTGCTGTGCTTTCTTTTTTTAGCATTGTGGTTTTTTTCCGGCAGTTGGTGTATGATATGAAAGTGAAGAGTTCCAGCAAGCTTCAGACAGGAGTACAAGAAAAAAAGAACGTCGTGTTTGTTCCTCTTTCCTTGTGCTCTTTTCTGAAACCCTCCACGTTCCGATTTCTGCTTGTTTTTAATTTGTTGCTGTTCTCGTAACGACTAGGGCTAATTTATACTATGACAAGTACCGGTCATGTGACCGTTTGCAAAAGCGGCCGATGCTCGCACCCCAAGTAACCTATATACCATGACAGATAGAATACTGCTCATATATAGAGCTTGCATTGTAATTGTCGTGCAAAATAAACTGAAGTCCTGCTCCTGCACGCGTGACTGGCTCAGAGCTCAGTGGCAGCGGTCACGTGACAG